AACAATTACTATTGACTATGCTCAGACTGTTAACTTAACTGATAAATTTCGTTAAGATGCTCTACTGAACTTAACATGATATTTAGACTTATCCGGAATAACCGGAACTGAACTGATTGGACATGAATTTACTGAACTGAAATAATCCCATAAATTTAACTGAAAATATTCATTAAATCATAAACCGGGCTGAACACTTAATCATATGAACCGAACCGGATTAAAAATGAGGCTGAACCGGTCCAGTCGGTCTGAACCAGTCTGGACCGGACTGCGGTTCGACCGAACCGGCAGTCGGCTGGGCTCGGCGGGGCGTAACGGGCGTGCGTGGCGTCCCGCTGGACTGACTGGTGGTCTGCCCGTGGCACTGCACATAGTTACACGTACTGGCGCGCGCTGGCGCGTTGTTGCGGTGCCGCGGGGCGTGAACTGATCGCAGGCGTGCGTTGGGCAACGCTGCGGGCTACTACTGGACGCGTACTGCACGCTGCCGTGCGTTACGGTACGCTGACTCGCATGAAGGGGAGGGTTGGCGTGCTACTGGCGTCGCCTGCACGCTACCGTGCACAGGCATCACGCACGCAGTTTCGCTTGCGCACGCTGCCTGTCGCATTGACTGCTGGCCGATGCGCTGCTGCCGCTGTATGCGGCAGCACGACCACGGCCGGCCCTTGCCGGCCGTCCGGCAAAATTTTCCGACCGAACTGAATTCATTTAACATTTTCTGACTTAACATGAACAATATACTGAATTTACAAGGAAATTGCTGAACTTGCTCACTGGACCTAACACACGGCCGCGGTGTGCTCGCTACGTGCGAGGCCTACGGCCTACGGCCAATTCCTCGACCAAACTTAAAAATATCTCGACCAACATGAACTGACTGACTATAAATGACATAACTTAATCTTTCAAACACAAATTGCTCGGACTAACTTGACCATACTGAAAGATAATGTCACCAAGCTCTTAACGGCCCGTGGGTGTGCGCGAGGTGCGCAACCCACCTTCTTGAGCCATTTCATGGACATACAGCTAACTTTTCTCGACCTATCCTTCCCAGCTGAATATTATACTTTAAATAAAAGCTGAAGAAACCAAAAATGCTCATGACTTGCTGAAAAAATTTGAACTTAACTCGGTATGGAACTATCATGCCCTAACCGAGTTCAACATGAATTTTCTTAAGAATTTCTGAAAATCCCTTGAACAATTAACCTTGAAATGACCTTACTAACATGATTCTAACATGAGGAGGAAGATACCTTATCAATCGTCCGGCCAAAATAGAAAAATAGGGCGTGCTTCCTTGTCCCTACGTGTGCCGTGCGGTACTCCGATTTGCCGTGCGTTAGAATGAGAAATTTATGATGATTACGCTAAGTAATTTGCTGCTGAAGGAGATGGTATAAAGCTGATCGTATAGAGGGGTAATATGCTGCTTATGCCTTCGGAAAATTGAGGGAAAATTTTCGTACAATTGCCTCCATATATACACGGCCGAGATGAATGGTGATGATGTAGTGAAGGCGTGGCACTCTCCCTTCTTGACACTTGCTTCTAATTTAACTATGTCGGGGATGACTAAGCAGCCCTCTTAATTAGCCACGTCGCTTGTGAAATGAGGAGGAAATCTTCCTTAAACTTGAGGAAACATACGGCCATACTACTCACTTAGGGAAAAATTCACTTAAGATTGAACTAATACCGAATGCTACGGCTTGAACGTAATGTTGTGATTAATTGCTCAATTAATCCCTCATAATATGTTTAATTATTAATTAAACATAATACTTAATTACCAAAATTATTCCGAACGTAAACGGTACGTCAAAAATAGATTTCGGTAATCTCGACTAGAAATAATTAATTCCGAAAATAAAAATCGATAACGTTATTATATAAGAACTAAAACATAATTTATACCGATAAAATATCGGGATATTACAATCCTCCCTCCTTACAAAATTTCCGTCCTCGGAAATTCAAAACATAACTGATATACATGAACTTATGTACATAGGATAAAGAATATGTACATCAAAACTGAATATCTGGAAAACGAGCGCGAATATCGGACTCCTCCTCCCAAGTAGCTCCGTGGAGATCCCACTGAATTCGCACGAGGGGAATGTCTCGCTTCCGGAGCCGACGAACCTGACGGTCTAGTACAGCTACCGGTCGCTCCTCGTACGATAGATCTGGCTGAACCTGAATATCCGTATGCGGGATGACATGATCGGGGTCGCACACGTACTTACGTAACATCGATGCATGGAATATATTATGAATGCCTGATAACTCGGGAGGTAGGGCTAGACGATTCGCGACCTCGCCTACTCGTTCGAGAACCTCGAACAGACCGATGAATCGAGGGTGTAGCTTCCCTCTCTTTCCGAATCGTACGACTCCGCGAATCGGACGAACCTTGAGAAAGGCTGGCTCGCCAACCTCGAACTGAATGTCTCGTCGATGATGATCGGCGGAAGATTTCTGTCGACTCTGAGCTGTCCTGAGTCTCTGCCGGATCAACTCGACCTGTTCTGCTGTCTCCTCGATCATCTTAGGACCGAGTACTCGCCGCTCTCCAACGTCGTCCCAATAGAGAGGGGAACGACACTTACGACCATAAAGTGCCTCGTAAGGAGCCATCTGAATAGAGGAATGAGAGCTGTTGTTATACGCGAATTCAGCGTACGGCAACAGTGACTCCCACTTAGCACCCCTGTCAACAACCAAAGCGCGAAGCATATCCTCAAGCGTCTGAATAGTCCTCTCTGACTGACCGTCCGTCTCCGGATGGTAGGCTGAACTGAACTCTAGCTTTGTGCCCATCGCCTCATGTAAACTGTGCCAGAATCGACTGACGAATCTGGGGTCTCTGTCTGATACAATAGTAACAGGCACTCAGTGGAGTCGGATGATCCCACGGGTATATATCTCAGCCAACTTGTCCAGAGACATCTTCATTGAGACGGGTAAGAAATGCGCAACCTTAGTCAATCTGTCGACCACGACCCAGATAGCGTCGTGATGTTAAGACGACCTCGGTAATCCCGTAACGAAATCCATCGTGACTTCCTCC